AAAAAAAAAAAAAAAAGGCCGCGCCGCGCTCACTAGGCTAATCCTCCACTAGCGGCGCCAGCACACCGGGTTCTAGTCCCGGTTGGGGCGCCGGATTCTGTCCCGGTTGCCCCTCTTCCAGGCCAGCTCTCTGCTGTGGCCAGGGAGTGCAGTGGAGGATGGCCCAGGTGCTTGGGCCCTGCACCCCATGGGAGACCAGGAAAAGCACCTGGCTCCTGGCTCCTGCCATCGGATCAGCGCGGTGCGCCGGCTGCAACGCGCCGGCCGCGGCGGCCATTGGAGGGTGAACCAACGGCAAAAGGAAGACCTTTCTCTCTGTCTCTCTCTCTCACTGTCCACTCTGCCTGACAGAAAATAAAAAAAATAAAAAAATTAAAAAAAAGTGAATTAGGTTGCTCTTAGATCCCTGAACTAATCTCAGCAGAGGAAAGTTTGGGACAGCATTTAAAGCAGCCAAGCCAGAGCTAAGAACTGTGGGTAAAATCTATTTTCTGGGAAACATACGTGGCAGTCCTACTATAGAAAGAATAACTACAGCAAGTGTTATCGACTACTGTTAGACTTCATAACAAACACACAAGAAATGAAGTGTGGAAAATAAGGCGATACCTTTATTCCCTCAGCTGTTTGGGTTGGGAGGTAGCCTTTAAGGGCCTTTGTGCTGCCTTTACTCAGTTCTAAATGCATCTGTACAATGGCCAACTCCATGTATGCACTTCAAGCCTGACACCCAGCCACGATTAAATCAACACTGGGACCTCTTTGCTGCCCCAACCCACACCTCTTCCCAGGATTCCATCCTAATTAACAGCGTCACTGTCTCTCGACCCAGTTGTTTCTCTTCTGCCAAGGGTTTCTCTTCCCTATATTCTACTGCTCAGGAAAACCTAGCAATTTTACCTACAAAATGAAACCCTAATCACACTTCATCTCCATCACAACCCTGTCTTGTAGGGCCAGTTCTTGCACTTTAGCATGCATTGGAATTACCCAGAGAGCTTAACATAAATTATCGGGGTTTATTATCTTTAATAAATTCTCAGGCAGTGCTGATGTTGCTGACTGAATCGCTGCTCTGGCTCATTAATGACTGTCAACAGTCTCCTAACTGGTCTCCTGGCTTTCCTTTATGGCCAACACAGGATCTGTGATGCCAAAAGCAAATGTAGGATTAATGTTATTTCAATGCCTTCTTTAAAGATTTATTTTATTTGAAAAGCAGAGATACAAAAGGGAGAAAGCAGGGGAGAGAGAGAGAGTAAGAGAGAGAGCGCTATCTTCCATTTACAGGTTTACTGTAAAGGCCAGAGCTGGGCCAGACCGAAGCCAGGAGCCAGGAGCTTCTCCCATCCACGTGGATGGCAGAGGCCCAACAACTTGGGCCATCTTCTGTTGCTTTCCCAGGTGACGTAGCAGGGAGCTGGATCGAAGTGGAGCAACTGGGAATCTAACCAGTGTCCTTATGGAATTCCAGCCCTGCAGGTGGAGGCTTAGCCTTCAAAGGTCACAGCTCGGGCCCTCAAGCCTTCTTTAAACAGTTCATAGTCTGCCAAACACCGAAATTAAATTTCCAAACCAATCAACCTCCCTTTTACCATATTTGGGCTCTCTCTGCTGCTCAAGCATTCCAAAGTCTGGCTTCAGGTCTGTGCTTTGTTGCCATTGCATGGAAACATTAAGTTGAACAAGCTCTTCTGAGTGATCATTTTTGGGGAAAACACGAGATGCCAGGTAGGTTTCATGGTATGTGACATGAAAAGGCAAACACAGCACCAACATTTATCAGTTAATTCCTAGGCCTCAAAACTAACCTATTTCCTCGGTATTCTAACAAACATGGGAATAGAACAGATTTATGGAACCAAGACATACACTCAAGGAATTAGTCAGTACCGTATTTAAACTGAGTCGCTTTCAGCTCACACATAATAGGCACAATTTAAGTTCTGCACTATTCTAGCAAAGGAAAACACGAGATCACATTATCTTTACTTAATTCCTGCAAATTCGCCTTACCGATACTACAACAGCACCTCACTGCCTAATTCAACGTTTTGATGGTTACCAGGCCAGCCAAATGCCGGTTTTAACAAGTCTCTCAGGCAAACCTAAGCCACGCTACAATTCCTGTTTTTTTCGCCAATCGAGGTACCTGTATACATACTAGTGAATCTCAAAACAAAAAGCCACACAAAAACAAAACAAGCAAAAATATCCAAAAGCAAAGTATGTGTTGCAAGCCAGATAATGTAAACTTGAGAAAGTGAAAACAGGAAACTGGGAAAAGACGGGAGGAAAGACAGCCTCCTTCTCGGGGAAGGCAGGTGGCTCTGAAAAGAGCCTTTGTGGGCCAGCGGCGCGGCAGGGCCTCACTTGGAGCTGGTGTACACGGGGACGGCCTTGGTGCCCTCGGATATGTCGTGCTTGGACGGCTCGCCGGACTGCAGCAAGCGCACGGCCTTCTGCACCTCCCGGGACGTGATGGTGGAGCGTTTGTCGTAGTGCGCCAGGCGCGACGCCACGCCGGCGTTGCGCCAACACGAGTTGGCGATGCCCGCGGCCTTAGACGAGACGCCGGTGCCGGGCGCACCTGCCAGAGCGCCTGGTACACGTAAAACGGAGCGGCTTCTTCTGCGGGTTGCGGTTTGCGGCCTGCGGCTGCGCTACTCGCCGTCCTCCTCCCGCGCGGCGGGGACGGCCTTCCCGGAGCCCCGCTCGGGCGCGGGCGCGGGCGCGGGCCAGGCGCCCGCCGGAAGCGCCCGGGCCGCGAGGGCGGCGGCCCGGTAGGCAAATGAAGGCTCCGAGGGGGCCGCGTGGTGATTCGCGGGTTCCGCCGCGGGCGCGGAGCTCATGCAAATGAGCGGATTCTGGGCGAGCCCGGCGATTGGGCAGCAGGCCGGGACGCCGCCGTGGCCAATGGGAGCGGGCGGTGGCCGATCGGCGTCCTGGCTATAAAAGGGTGGAGCGGCGCGGCGGCGGGCGAGTCGGCGGGTGTCTAGGCGGCCAGGTGCGTTGCGTGAGCGTGGCAGTGATGTCGGGTCGTGGGAAGCAAGGCGGTAAGGCGCGCGCCAAGGCCAAGTCGCGGTCGTCGCGCGCCGGGCTGCAGTTCCCCGTGGGCCGGGTGCACCGGCTGCTGCGCAAGGCAACTACGCCGAGCGCGTCGGCGCCGGCGCGCCCGTCTACATGGCGGCCGTGCTCGAGTACCTGACGGCCGAGATCCTGGAGCTGGCGGGCAACGCGGCGCGCGACAACAAGAAGACGCGCATCATCCCGCGCCACCTGCAGCTGGCCATCCGCAACGACGAGGAGCTCAACAAGCTGCTGGGCAAGGTGACGATCGCGCAGGGCGGCGTGCTGCCCAACATCCAGGCCGTGCTGCTGCCCAAGAAGACGGAGAGCCACCACAAGGCCAAGGGCAAGTGAGGCCGGCGGCGGGAGCCCGGCCCTGCCCGCGTCCGCGAGGGGCGCTCGCGAAACCAAAGGCTCTTTTCAGAGCCACCCACCCCGTCTGAGAAAGAGTTGCAGACACGCTAGTCCGCGGTCGCGCCCGGCCCGGGCCTCGTGGGGAAGGGAGCTGGGGGGGGGGGGTGGGAGTGAGGTGCATACGCTGTCCGGCCTCGACCCACCCCCGTAGGCGGGGCTCGCCGTCGCCGGGAGAGCGGCCTCCGCGAGTTCGGCCGGCAACTGCGGCTCCCGCCGGACACCCCCGTGCTTAGTGTGATAGAGACGTAACCCCCACCCCAGCCTCTGTCGAAGGGAAGGATACCTTCCCCGGGCGTTGGGAGCGGGGGGGGGGGGGGGGGGGCTCTATTACGGAACCGCCCTCTCGGCCCCGCCCCAGTCCTGCGCCCTGGGGACGGGCAGCTGCCCCTGCCCACAGGTGGGTGCTGGCCTGCTCAGGGCCGACTCGGAGGACGCGAGACCCTGGGCACGCAGCGAGGCGGCCCGCGGGCTAGGAACACACGCGAGGTTGAGCTCCCACTCGGCCCGCGCAGCGCCCACGGGGATAGCCCTCTGAGCGGCGGGGCCGGCGCGCAGCCTTAAACCGCCAGTCGGCTGGGCGGGGGCCAGGAGCGGACGTGCACCCAGAGAGAACCCGGGAAGGCGCTGCGGGCAAACTTGAGGCCAACGGACAGCCTGGGGCGGGGCGGGCAGAGGGCCTCTGCCGGAGCTAGTGGGCGGTGCCGGGGCGCGTGACGTCGTCGCCAATGAGCGAGCAGCGCGGGGACTTTGAAGTCCTGCCGCCCAATCGGGCAGAGACGGCGCCTATAAAGCGCGCGGCGGCGGCCGGCCGGCTCGAGACAGTGTCGGCGCGCCGGTGAGCGAGGTCGTAGGTGGGGGAGCATGGCTCGCACGAAGCAGACGGCGCGCAAGTCGACGGGCGGCAAGGCGCCCCGCAAGCAGCTGGCCACCAAGGCGGCCCGCAAGAGCGCGCCGGCCACGGGCGGCGTCAAGAAGCCGCACCGCTACCGGCCGGGCACCGTGGCGCTGCGCGAGATCCGGCGCTACCAGAAGTCGACCGAGCTGCTGATCCGCAAGCTGCCGTTCCAGCGGCTGGTGCGCGAGATCGCGCAGGACTTCAAGACGGATCTGCGCTTCCAGAGCTCGGCCGTCATGGCGCTGCAGGAGGCGAGCGAGGCCTACCTGGTGGGCCTGTTCGAGGACACGAACCTGTGCGCCATCCACGCCAAGCGCGTCACCATCATGCCCAAAGACATCCAGCTGGCCCGCCGCATCCGCGGAGAGCGGGCTTAAGCAGCGCGCTCTCGTCTCCGGTTTCCATCCTCGGCCCAAAGGCTCTTTTCAGAGCCACCCACGTACCACGAGAAAGCAGCTGTGCGCTCCGTCCCCGGGGCCCCGGCGGTCGGGTGGGGTGGAGAGGGGGCTGGTGCGGGTGGTGGTGAGCGATGGCTTCGGGCCCGGGTCTCCCCCTGGCAGCCGTTTAAAGGCGCTGGGGCTCGCGCTACCGCTTGTGGCCTCGGCCCGTTTGTCGCCGCTGTCCCTGGCACGGCGGTTTGCGCCCGCTCGTGCCCTGTCCTGGGCGGTAACGGCCGCCCGGAGTGCGCGCGGGGCTCGCTGTCGGGGGCGCGCCCGTGTGCGAGGGAACGGCGCGGGCTGTGACGTAGGCGTAGGCGACAGAAATGGCCGCCGCGGTGCCGCCTGCTCCTGCTGGCCGCTCCTCGTCGTCCCCGGCTGTAGGTGAATTCTGTGCCACTGGGAGCCCAAGTGGACATCCCTCGCATTCGCAGCGGCAGAACCCTGCTCTTTTCGTGCGCTTGCCTGTAGCTCGGGGCGGGAGAGGGCAGGGCCTGGCCGCCCGGGAGAGGGAAGAGATACTTGTGCACTCCGCCCTGGCTCGGCACTTTAAATCACTTGTTTCCTTTCGACGCGGAATTTGTTTTCAAGTGTTTGTGAGATTCCTGTTAGGGCTGGTGTGGGCCCACGTTCAGTTCTTGGAGAGGGACTGGAGGAGCCATGTTGTAGCTGGGCCTCCGTCAGGTAACAGAGAGAAAGCCTTGGATTACTCGTTTCACGTTTGGGAGGCGAGAAACCCAGGCTCCTGGTGGGTACTGACGCCGGGCTCGGACAAATAGCTGTGTGAGTTAGGATGTCACCTGCTACTCTAGCACTGGGAGGAGGAGGGGGCTTGTTTTTAATTTAGGTAATTCCTTTCATCTGTGCACAATTGACGGGTTAAATGCATTTACTGCAGAGATCAGTGATAATTTACCGGTGTGACAAGGAAATGCAGAGGAAGCTGAGTTTTGCAGCACTGCCATTTGGAATCTCGAGGGCGTCAAGAAAGCAGCCTAGTGCTGGTGGGCTCCATGTCGCACTAGGGATTGCCACATGGGCCTGCTCCCAGGTCATGCCGATTTCTAAAGCGTGCCTCTGGGTCTCTGTCCAGTCCCTGTTTCTCTGGTTAGGCCTGCAATGGAGGATCCAAGGGGTGGTGACTTGCCGAGCAGGGTGGGGTACCACCTTTGCAGTGAGCAGACCCTGGGACCCCCGGGTGTCTGTATCAATGCCTTATGTCCGTGGCCGGCCCTCAAGATACCCTCCTCCAAACTGGCAGTCTGGGCACTTCCAAATTCCCTGAAGTCTCCCTGACACAAAGGAAAGTTGGTGGCATTGTTGGTAGCAGTCAGAAACAGCACGGTTCTGTTGTGAAGGTCTGGATTCGGAGAATGCTTCAAGCTTCCTGTGTGTTTGGGAGACCAGCATAAGCTGGGTTCTTCAGTCCAAGGTTATTTAAAATGTAAGTTCTCACAATTACTTTTGCATAACATTCTGTATTCTCAGATGAGAGTAAAACGAGCTGAGTACAACATATGTAAATGCTCTTCCTCTGATAATTGGCTTCCATGTGGCTAGCTTGGTTGGAGAAAAAGTCTGCCTGGACCCTAGGGTTCTTAAGAAATCTTAAACCTTTGTTCAGATGTAATTTTGTCTTAACTGTGGGGGGACGGCCATGGGTATGGAGGGAAACCATGTGGTTGTATACAGCCCTGCTGACACCCTCGGCCTTGGAGGAGGAGGACTTGTTCTTGGAGGCCATGCTCCCCGATCGTCCTTCTCCAGGTCCCGGTTCCGTCTTCTCATGGCCTCCTCCTCATCAGTATTTGCCATGCTCTTCTGGGCCATCTTTTTCTCCCTGAACTTGGAAGGTGTTCACTGATTTCCCTGCTCTCCAGACTGTCTGGTGGGCAGGTCCTTATGCATAGATAATGGGCCCTTCGGACTCTGTTTATTGCTAAACTAGGCGCCATTTCCCCCAATGTATTTGTTCCTTCCATATTCACCATCTTCCCGAAAGACACCTTTGTTTTTACCCTCCTCAGGGTAAGGCTCTGTCATCTCCATGGCATTGGCGCCCAAGCAAGCAGGACCTGGCACACTGCAGGGCTCAGGAAAAGCTTGTCGAGGGAACTGCTTCTTCTGACTGTCTACTCTTGGCTGAGTGTGAGGGAGTTGGGCCCCTCGTTTTGGGGGTCCTTGTACTTAAAAACCAAGAGGAGGACTGGATTGGGTCTTTTGGAAAGACTTCCAAGGTCCTGGGGCAGGTGGTAGGCTCCCAGATGAAGGAAGTAGGGATGTGGAAGCCTTTGCCTGCTCCTGGCAATAGTAATTGTAAAAGAGTCCCCAGGACTCTGTCCCCAAGCCCCAGCCAGCTGTCCCTGCCCTTTCCGGAAGGCAGGTGATCTGGGGGAAGAGTGTCTGTTTTTATATCCCCCCAGACATCTGATTCATCCTTGCTGGTAGGATTTCTTTGGGGTGCAGTGGGAAGTTGAGATGTGATTAACAGCAGTGAGTGAGTATGTCTAAAGAGAGGAGGGGAAGTGGGGAGAACAGTAGGCCGAGGACAGAGGGGACAGGACACAGATGCCTAGGGTCTTCATTGCTGTGGACAGGGGCATGAAGCCCCTTGAATGATACACCAGATCTCCTGACTCTTACCCAGAAAAAGGTTCAGAAAAGACCGAGGACTGCGTCCACTTGAGGATTGATGTGAGGATGGAAAGACGTAGTCCACACAAAATGCATGGAACAGTCTCACATGTGGTAATAGATCAGTGCCAGTGGCATCATTTGCATTGATATTAATGAGTGATGTCAATATTGATGTAAGTCCCAGTTATAATCACATTATTCAAGAATGACACACAGAAGCAATTGGTGGGGCCAGCATTGTGGTGCAACGGTTTAGCTGCTGCCTGCAACCCCAGCATCCCATGTCTGAGTGCAGGTTTGAGTCCTGGCTGCTCTGCTTCCACTCCAGCGTCCTGCTAATGCACCAGGGCAAAAAACAGCAGAAGACAGCCAATTACTTGGCACCTGCCACCAAGTAGAAGACCTGGGTGGAGTTCCGGGCTCCTGGCATTGGGCCAGCCTTGTTGTTATGGCCATTTGGGCAGTAAACCAGCAGATGCATCTATTTCTGTCACTCTGTCTTTTGAATAAATAAACCTTGAAAGATAAAAGATAACAAAAGCAACTGGTGGATCATTATAAACACATGCCCAGCTAGTTGATAGGCCGTGTGGCCCAGGTGTGAGAATACTGGGTTCCCAGAAGGCTTATCACTCACCTTTCACTTACTGTTTTGTTTGATAGGAAACTCAGCTTCTCATCATACCTGGGGCAGGTGTGTAAGGTTGCAGGAACAAGAACCGGTCTCTGGGCTCTGTGAGAACCTGTGCATTAAATGGAAGGCATGTGGTGGTGGAAGGTGAAGAAGGATGGTAACTGAGCTATCTGGAAGTCAATGAAACGGGCTCACTCTGGAGCACTTGTAGGAAAACTTGGGACAGGAGCAGTCTACTGCAGGCGGAAGAACCGGGAGAATAAAAGGAGAATTGTGTGCAGGCCGTGGATGAGCAAAAGCCAGTAATGAGCTGTGGGGACTTTGGGGTAAGCTCATGTAGGTTGTCCAGAGTGCTAACATGGGGCGAGGGCAGGTTTTATTCTATAAATAAATGACGTGATGTCACTTTACACAGGACAGGCCAGCAAATCCTGGGAGGTTGAAAAAGCCAAGGTGGGAGCTGAGCTGCTTGTGCTCTGCTGGCGGGAAGTAGACCAGGGCAGCCATTCTGAAGAGCAGCCTGATGCTTTCTGGGCCAATTAAGGATACACAGATGATAGGAACCGTGGTTCTGTTCCAGGGTATTTTTTCAGAAGAAATTCTCAGATCTCTATCAGGTGGGACATTGGAAACAATGTGTACATTTGTCACTGGAAGAATGGATACCTAGGGCCAGCGCCGCGGCTCAATGGGCTAATCCTCCACCTAGCGGCGCCAGCACACCGGGTTCTAGTCCCAGCTGGGGCGCTGGATTCTGTCCCGGTTGCCCATCTTCCAGGCCAGCTCTCTGCTGTGGCCTGGGAAGGCAGTGGAGGATGGCCCAAGTGCTTGGGCCCCGCATCCCATGGGAGACCAGGGGAAGCACCTGGCTCCTGCCTTCAGATCAGCGTGGTGCGCCGGCCGCAGCATCGGGGTGCGCGGGCTGTGGCGGCCATTGGAGGGTGAACCAACGGCAAAAAGGAAGACCTTTCTCTCTGTCTCTCTCACTATCCACTCTGCCTGTCAAAAAAAAAAAAAAAAAAAAGATACATAAAACATGGTAGACAGTTCACCACGTACTCTGCAGCAGGAAGAAATCAAGTAGACCATGGCCTTAGCCCCGTCAGGCTGCCGCAACACAGTAGCTTAGACTTCATAAATAATTTATAAACAACGGAAATGCATTGCTCACAGTTCTGGGAAGCCCACGCTCGAAGTGCTGGCCGCCTGCTTGTCTGGGGTGCTCCTCCTAGGTGGTGCCCTTCAACGTGTGTATTCTCATCACATGGGGGCTGAGGACAGCTCCCTCACATGTCGGTCCACCAGAGCCAGGCCCACGTGACCTGATTGCCCCCTGAAGGTGCCCCCTCCCCCACTATCACACTGACACCTGTGGCTCAGTGTACGCATTCGATGGGGATGCATTCAGGCCATGGCAACACCTAACAAGAAAACAGCCTTCAAGGCATATTACTCTGTAGGGGGAAAAAATGAAGTGAAGTAGAAAACAATGCTCTTACGGAAATTAATATACTTGGCAATCATACATTTAAACAAGATGCTGGAAACACAGTAGAGTGGTTTTCCACAGGGGTGGAAAAAGATTGGGACCGAAGCTTGAAAAAGAGCCAGGAAAGCAAAAAACCAGGCCAGTTCCTTGAGCAGATAGGTAACAGTCAGAGCTGCACATGAAGAAGGTGAGTCCGGGGGCAGGGGACAAGAGCAATGGGAAGTGAGCAGCACCTGAGGCAGGGATGAGGCAGGGGAGAGGGGCTGAGGATGAGCACAGGGGACACCCCCCGCCGCCTGCTGTGGACTGGAGGGGAAGTGTTGACTTCGGGGCACAGAGAAAATTGCCTGAAGCTGGATGGGGGACAGGGCAGGCAGGGATCACGGAGGCAGAGGGGGGCCCCCCGGCTGACTCTGGGCCTCCCTGCCTGTGGGAGTGGGCAGCCCGGGAGTGCAAGCTGCCGAGGAGGCCGCTGGGGCCAGGGCTGTGGAGAGGTCCCGCTAGGGACCAGATGGGCCCAGGAAAGTAGGAAAGAGTCCTACCCTGAAGCCAGCAGAAAAACACAAGGAAACTGGGCCAGACGATTGTTTTTTGGTGCTTTCTAGCACTAATATTCTCTGGTTCTACTAAATAAATGACAAATATATTAATAGAGCCTCAGATTATTCATGATTTGCAAAGTGTGTGATATTTTAGACAAATGTCTTGGTAAAATTAGGAGCACGCACCACGGTGTATCAGAGAATGCCATGTTGTTTCCATCACCTAAACAGCAGCTTCCTCATTCATGATAGTGATACCATTTACCTTTTAGCGTTTTCAGGGATTTGAATATTCTTGAGTAATAATAGTCAAGTCAGTTGGGGAGTCCATTTGGTTCTTTAGGATGGCTTTGTTTTTTTGGTCCAGTCCTGAAGAGTCTGGCGTGTTGCAACCTCATCTTAATGCTCAGTCTTACTTGCTCCATATTCTAGCTGCTCCTCCCTTCAGTAATCCTCCCATGATTACAGGGCATGTGGGAACTAGCTGGGGTTAAACAGGCAATAAATATATAACTTCTGGTTTCTTTATCACTTCTGGCCCTTTCATTTGATCCTTAAAAAAGTCCCCTCAAAAAGGCAGGAATTCAAGACCGATGCAGTGGCATAGCAGGTAAAGCTGTCATCTGCAGGGCCAGCATCCCATATGGATGCCCGTTTTGAGTCCCAGCTGCTCCACTTCCAATCCAGTTCCCTGCTAATGCACCTGGGAAAGCAGTGGAAGATGGCCCAAGTCTCTGGCTCCCTGCAGCCACACAGGAGACCTGCATGAAGCTCCTGGCTTCGGCCTGGTCCAGCTCTGGCCATTGTGGCCATTTGGAGAGTGAACCAACAGATTTTGAATAAAATAAACAAATATTAAGGAAAAAAGAAAAGGCAGGATTCTCTGTAACAACTAAATAAGAGAAACTAACTTTGGCTGAGATTTGCTGTGATTCACATCACAGATTCTCTGTTTTGAGGAAAATGATATTCATGCTTTTTAAAAGAAATTTTAAAAATTCAGAAATGTTCCATGAATGTTAACAAAAACCAACACCTACAAATATATATAAATCATTCTTAATATTTCAACATTCTTATTCACTCATACTTTTTATATGCTAATAGCTGCACAAATGACAGTCCTTTTGGCTCAAGTAGAGAAATATATGGCATACATAAAGCTCAGAGTGAAAGGTTTCAAAGGAAGAAAAGTTAGAATACGGTCAAAGGTGCTCAGGAGCATTGACCTGGTTGTGGAGGAGTGTAGCACTACCACGCAGGCAAGCAGGGAGCCTGGAAAGGGAGGTCTGATAGTGGGACACTCCAGTGCCCCTGTGGCCATGGTGATGGAAGTAGCTCCACACACTGGACTCTGTAATTGTTTCTGGTCAAATGGCAATGCAGAAAGGTGACTTCAGTTCTTGTCTCACATGGAAGAATTTCCACAGGGACAAGGCAGTGAGCAAAACAAGATTTATTGGAGTCAGAAACCTCTGGCCCCAGCAGCCAGGAGGACAGCTCCACGAGAGGCAGACCTGAGAAACCAGTGGAAGCAGAGTCTTCTAAGCACAACTGGGGAGACAATCAATCAAAGGACGGGGACAAAACCCATCAGAAGGCCAGAACTGTAATCCTGTGTAACCCGCTCATGATAAAACAAAAAAGCTTCAGGCTGATGCTGTGGTGTAGTAGGTTAAGCCTCTGCCTGTGGGCTAGCATCCATATGGGCACTGGTTTGAGTCCCAGCTACTCTACTTCCCATCCAGCTTCCTGCCAATGACCTGGGAAAGCAGTGGAAGATGGCCCAAGTGCTTGGGGCCCTGCACCCATGTAGGAAACTCAGAAGTTCCTGGATTCAACCTGGCTCAGTTCTTGCTGCTGTGGTCATCTGGGGAGTGAAACACTTCAGACCTCTCTCTCTTAAATAAATCTTTAAACCAAAAAACCACTTCAGTGTGCATTAAAATCACCTAGAAGAGACTGGAGACTGTTCCATCGCAGCCCCCCAGAGTTTCTCATTCGCCAGATCTGGGGTGGGACCCAAGACTGTGGTTCTAACAAGTCCCCAGGTTTCCTATGCAGCTAGATTTGAGATCACTAAGACAACTGACGTGTTTTCCATCCACTCTTTCTCTATCCTTTTTCTTCAATCTTCATATCCTTTCTCAGAGCATCTGAGGATCAAATATATTCACTCTGCATTGCCTTGAAGTTAAAAAACAAAAGGGTGCTAAATAGACACTATAAATTACAGATTTTAAAGGGAAAAAGAAACATCATGCACACAGAAGCCTCCAATTTATTTCTCACATGGATGCCAAATAACAAACCACTCTCACAGGCAAATAGTGGCAAAATCATAATTAAGCTTCAGGATTAGAAGTGTGGACCCACCACATTTCAACCTGAACCAGAGCAGTTTAGAAGGAATGGCAGTGTACAGAACGGCCTGCCATGCTGATACAGAACCATTTCCTTCTGCCTTGTCAAAACTAAATTGAGGGGCCAGCGCTGTGGCGCAGCGGGTTAAAGCCCTGGCCTTATGGGTGCCGGTTCTAGTCCTGGCTGCTGCTCTTCCGATCCAGCTCCCAGCTATGGCCTGGGAAAGCAGTAGATGGCCCAAGTTCTTGGGGCCCCTGCACCTGTGTGGGAGACCCGGAAGAAGCTCCTGGCTCCTGATCAGCGCAGCTCCTGCCATTGCAGCCTTCTGGGGAGTGAACCAGCGGATGGAAGACCTCTGTCTCTACCTGTATCTGTAACTCTTTCAAATAAATAATAAAATCTTAAAACAAAATTGAGCTTTCTGTACCCGTGGTGGGTATGTTCCTGCAGGTGTCTTAGCAAGCAAGCAAGCCCTAATAGGTAAAATTCACCTGCCCGAATTACTTGTTTTTGCAAAAGATTTACTTCCACTGCAGGCTAACATTATGTAGTTTGCTCAAGTTTATAGGGACACATTAAAACCTGTCTCCACCCGTGTCCTTGCAATGCTAAGTTGAGAACTGTTTAACACATATCACAGAATACCATACTTCTCGTGCACTGGCCAGAAAACTTGCTAGAAGCAATTTACTTTTAAAACCGGCCCTGGGTTCATCCCTCAACTAATTACGTCTCATCCTTTTATTTGGCTTTAAACAGTTAACTGTCGTTGGCTTTTACAATCTCACCTTTATTGCAAACAACCAACTACAGGTCGGAAACCACCGGCCAAAATGGCCCTTAAGGGTGCTTTGGCTCACTCACTCCTTGGGCAGTGACAGAAAACGAAGGGGGCAAGTTAGCCAAGTCAAGCGGGGTCCAGCGATAGAATTGGCGCGGCCTAACTGCAGACCAAGGGCTGCCTTGGCCACTGTGCTGATCAAATTCGGACTGTTCGTGTCGACTCACTGGCCTCCACCTCCCCCGACACATCCCGGGAACCCGCGAAGCCCGGCACCCCCGGGATCGACTAGAGCACTGGAAATTTCGCTGCTCCGGGGAAACCCCACCCCAGGACCACCCCGGTACCTACTAAAACTACCCCCCGAGTCTAACTGCCTGACTCGGCCATTACTCTCCGCCCGAGCGCCCAGCTCTTCCGAAGACCGCGTGGTCGGCCCTAAAAAGGGCCTTTGGGGTGGGAGGTGGAAGCGGACTGCAGCGGCGGCTCAGCCTCCGAAGCCGTAGAGGGTGCGGCCCTGGCGCTTGAGCGCGTACACCACGTCCATGGCCGTGACGGTCTTGCGCTTGGCGTGCTCGGTGTAGGTGACGGCGTCCCGGATAACGTTCTCCAGGAAGACCTTCAGCACGCCACGCGTCTCCTCGTAGATGAGGCCGGAGATGCGCTTGACGCCGCCGCGCCGAGCCAGCCGCCGGATGGCCGGCTTGGTGATGCCTTGGATGTTGTCCCTCAGGACCTTGCGGTGGCGCTTGGCGCCGCCCTTGCCCAGGCCTTTGCCGCCTTTGCCTCTGCCAGACATTGCTGCCGCGATTCAGAGAACAGACTGTGCTGCAGCCCGCCACGGCTTCCCTGGATATACAAACGCGGCGGACCGGATTGGGAACGGAAAGCGCGCCGGCGGGAAGCCCGCTGGGCGGGCCCTGCTCCCCCGACCTTACGTCACTTCGCTTCCGTCCCCCCCCCCCCCCCTTCCGCCTGCACGGGTCCCTTTACCACACTTTAACCTTTTTTCTTAAGGAGAGTTTGATTCAGAACTGTTAGCCTCCTGATTCCGCAGTCTTTTCGCCGCGGTCTCCCGCGCTGTGGGCCCGGGGTGGGCTTTCAGAGGGGACCTGGGGAAGGGCAAATGGAATCCGGGGTCGGAGGCAAAAGCGCCCGTGCCCGATCGAATCCACGCAGAGGATCCCCAAACACGATAGATCACATAAAACTGCCCAAAAGCGGCCGGCGCCGTGGCTCAATAGGCTAATCCTCCACCTTGCGGCGCCGGCACACCGGGTTCTAGTCCCGGTTGGGGCGCCGGATTCTGTCCCGGTTGCCCCTCTTCCAGGCCAGCTCTCTGCTATGGCCAGGGAGTGCAGTGGAGGATGGCCCAGGTGCTTGGGCCCCGCCCCCCATGGGAGACCAGGAAAAACCCCTGGCTCCCGGCTCCTCCCAGGATCAACCCGGTGCCCCGGCTGCAGCGGCGGCCATTGGAGGGTGAACCAGCGGGCAAAGGAAGGACCTTTCTCCTCTCTGTCTTCTCTCTCACTGTCCACTCTGCCTGTCAAAAAAAAAAAAAAAAAAAAAAAAAAAAAAAAAAAAAAATTTGCACAAAACTGCCCAAAAGCTGTTTTCGCCGTGAGGCCCGGGCGACCCGAGAGCCGCGGAGCCTGGGCTGCGTGCTCAGAGGGAGGAGAGGGGCCGGGCGCCATCGTCCCTGGGGCTCGCGTTTTGTTGGTGTGAGGCACCATTTTTCAGCTCCCCCCAGGACGGATTAGGGACTAGGAAGGCCGGGAGGCCAGGGAGTCTCCGTGCGCTGCCGTGCACCCTCTGCGGGTGGATAGTCGGGTGGGGTGGAGGTGGCGATTGCTTATTCGCATCTCCCAAGGGCTTTTTGCCGACGCCCTCTCGTCCCTGCAGAGCCTCTAAAATCTGCCCTTGTTTCGGCCTGGGTACAGTGGCCGGGTTGTGTCCCCGCTGGAGGACAGCTCTGGAACCGAGTCAGGACCAGAAACGGCCCTGCGCAATCCACACGGGTTCAACACTGCTTCCTTTACCAGGGCACTCCATAGGAGGATCTACGAGAAAAATGTTCCGCTTTCTGCATCAGAGCTTTTTTTTTCTGAAAAAAAAATTTTTTTTTTAAACTTGTGCCATTTCCTCTCTCCTTCCGCTCTGATTTCTCTCAATATGTTGATGAGCGGCAGATCCCTTCCTGTCCAGATTTCTCTGTCTCAGACCTATACGTTCACCCGGAGACTTGAGTCATGACGAACTCCAATCTCCCAAAATCAAAATATCTGAACTTCAGCGTGGGAGATACGTTGAATCTCCCTCCTCCTCTTCCGGTAAGCCTGATTCGCTTGTCTGCTCACGGAATGGTTCCACTCTGCATCAGTGTAGCCGCATGCATAAGCCAACACTTTAGAATTCACAGCCAGGTACCTTCCTCTCTCTTAACGCTGCTGCACAGAAAAACACACGTGCTCTTTTCTGATCCTTGAGCACCGCCTGCAGAGCCTACCGTGCTATTTTGTCTGCGTCTTCCACATCTCATCTCCCTTGGACTCTGTTCTTTCCTGTAACGTTTTCCTTATTTTCCTTTTTAAGCTCACATGTGGTTCAGCGTCCAGTACAAGCTCAATCATCGTTTATCTGTTTAGGGGCTGAAAAGGTACTGCATTTGATAAATACTAGTAGGAAAGGACACCTAATTGCAACACGGTAAAAACTTCTGCAAGCCAAGGCGGACGGAAAATGACTTTTGGCGTCACAAGAACCAGGACTCTAGGTGGCATTGGAGGCAGAATGTCCGTCCACTTCCCTTTTGAAGGGACCAGGATTTGCTACCCCAAACCATGCCACTGCTGGCATAAGAATTCCTTTGAGCTAAAGGGATGGGATTTGAGTTCCTGAAATCCACCTGTGTGGTAGCACAGCCTCCTAGAGGCCGCAGTGGGTGTTAACCCCCGGCGCAGGCGCAGGAGCCCTGCGCAGGACCGCTTCTGCGCCATCAGGGCCACACCCACACAGGTATCTTCACAAGACACGGATGTGTTTTCCTAAGGGATCTTTGATCTTTTCAAAATGTCACTTGCTTTTCCATAAGTGTCTTTCCCTGCCTCTCCCTCTTGAGTTTGAGAACCCCAGTTCTAACCAGTCCTTTGAGTTCCTCACCTCCAAGGGTTGCTCCATGTGTGGGCCTCATGCACTGTTGATAAACTTTTGCTTGCTTTTCTCCTGTTAATCTGTCTTTGGTCAGTCTAGTTTTTAGGGCTCCAACTGGAGAAGCTAGGACAGTAGACAGAAAACGGATTTGTTTCCTTCTCCACAGTTCAGTCGTCTTCATCCTCCTTTGAGGGGCCTAACCACCATTACATAAACCAAATCGCCTCCAAGTTTCCCTTCTCCTTACAAGTAAAATTTAGCTGGAGAAAGCAGTTCGTCGCAAGGCCTGACTCATAGGAACCAAATGGCAGGAGACTGAATCTTTTTGGTAGAATTAATAACGTGGTTATTGATGAATTGGGGTGGCTTTTCCCTGCAAAAAAACTTTCCTCCTAAAACAAGGGTTGGCATTGGCAGTTCTCTTCAGAGAAATCCAGGGGCAAAGTCTCAGAGAAGAACGTGAGAGTCTCCCATTAGCTCCAGGATTCTTTTCACAGCCAAGCAGCTAAGTCAGGAGCAGGGTGGAAGGGAGGGAGGGAGGGACAGCCACTTTGAGCTGTTGGCAGGAGGCAGTGGATTTCAACAACTTTGTGGAGAATTTGCATGTGCCATGCACTTCCTGCTAAATCTTTCATAGGAAAGACTGTGCTTCAAAATGGGCGCTTCCAACCTAACAAGGCTCTTGTACAGATCATTCAGGCTCCTTCCCCTTGGTCCCTGTCTGCCTTGCCTGCTCTGTTCACCAACTACATGCATCTCACCCACTGTAGCCCAGCAAACTGCTCTGCAAATCTTGAAAACATTACAACGTACAGGGCCTTACAGGTGTCAAATCTGCTGGCTCGGGGCCTGGCTGTGGCACAGTTGGGTAGAGCCGTTGCCTGTGGTGCCAGCATCCCATATAGGCAGCGGTTCGAATCCCGTTGCTCCACTTCCAATCCCACTTTCTGCTATGGCCTGGGAAAGCATTGGAAGATGGTCAAAGTTCTTGGGCCCCTGCACCCTGGAGATGCTCCTGGCTCCTGGCTTCAGATCAGCACAGCTTTGGCTGTTGTGGTCATCAGGGGAGTGAACCAGTGGATGAAAGACTTCTCTCTCTCTGCCTCTGCCTCTCTGTAACTTTGCCTTTCAAATAAATAAATAAATCTTTTAAAACAAAAGTCTACTGGTTCACTCCCCAAATGGCCACAATGGGCTGGAGCTGGGTCACTCCAAAGCCAGGAGCCAGGAGCCAGGAGCTGCTTCTGGGTCTCTCACATGGGTGACTGCTTTTTCCAGGCCATTAGCAGGGAGCTGGATTGGAAGTGCAGCTAGCTGGGAATCGAACTGGTGACCATATGGGCTGCCAGCATTGCAGGCAGTGACCCTTATCCATATAAGCCACAGTGTTGGCCCTTTACATATGTCACATTTTGTAAGATTCAATTTTGGGGAGCTCTTGATATATGAAAAATAAAACAGGATATTACAATTTTGACTATAGTTAATGGCAATATATTGTATTGTTGAAAAATGCTGAGAGAAGTATTAAGTCTTCTCACCACAAACTGATAACTGTGAAGTAATGCATTTGTTACTAGCTAGATTTGACCATTCTACATTGTGAATATACTTCAAAACATTATGTTGTGAATGAGAAGTACATGTGATTTTATGTCGATTAAAAATAAACTTGAAAGAAATTTTATATATTCTCCAAGTTTGCATTTAATTAATCCATGCTGTACCTACAGACACAATTATAAGACAAGATGTTAGGTAGGAAGTTAGGTATGAGCTTATGTGTGTATGACAGGCCTAAAGAGAAGACATCTATGTCCAGCATATGCATCTACATCTCAAAGTCATCCCGATATGATAATGTTTCAGGGGCAGCCAGGCCTTCGCATCCTGCCCTGCCCTCTTCTACCTGATAACCTGCCAGGTGGAGGTCCCTGCCCCTTCTGCCTGACAAATCTTCCACAATCTCCCAGATGCAGCCCAGTATCTGCATTTCAAACACTCTGCTCCGGATCCTGATTCTCCAGAGGGTCCTGCTCACCCTTCCTCTAACTCAGGACAGCGGTGCCAGCTAGCCTTCCTCCTGTCTGATACCTTCAAGGGAAAACTCAGATAGGAGCTTCTTAGTATTTACAGCCATAAAATCCTTTGTTTCAGGAGGAGATGTGTGAAGACAAAGACCCATCTCCTTAAAAACCCCCGGCCTCAACCAGATTGCACGCTCAGCCCTCTGCCTCTCTGCTGAGCCGCCCGCCTGGTCTGGCCAGGTGTACTCCACTCAACCCTGTAACCTTGCCCCCCCCCCCCCCACCTCCCCCGCCAAGTCCGAGTGACTGCACTCTTTCCCAGGTCCTGTCTGGAGAGGTGCCCATCCGTCCTTACAGATGTCCCTTCCCTAATAAACCTTGCTATTTTACCTCCCACTACTCTCTGTCTCACGCCTGAATTCTTTCTTGCGCGAAGACAAGAACCCTGCAATTTCTCCAGTAACAAAGATATACCTTCATTTGTGGAATAGATAAAAAAGCAATCCTGAAGCCATTCAGAAACTGGAAGCCTGCCACAGTTCTGCTGAGTTCCCTACAGTAGGCTCTCTTGGTTCATGATTCCGGTCTCATGTTTTTGCATGCTGCTACCTTTCTCCAGTTTGTACTTTTATTCTGCTGGGTAAAATTTCTTTTTAAGTTCTTGCTTGAATGTCAGGTCCCTAGTTAGTTGTTTCCTTCTTCCAGTTCTCATACTAATTTGGGTGTATCTTTATTAATACTTAACCAGAATAGCTATCTTCTAGTGAGTGCTCACACGCTCCCAGTCTATACAACATTTTACATGGGTTGTCTTATTTACATAATTAGTTAACTCGCACTGGAACCCTGTGGGATGCTGGGGTTTGATTTTATCAATGAGAAGACCACTGGTTTCCGAGTTCTTCAAGGCTGTCAGGGAAATGGGGGCTGGGTTCTTTATTCTTTCCACGTCATTTTCCTCACCTGTAAGTTGGGGTTTATGTTTCTCCCAAAGCTGTCACTCACTATTAAATGAAATAATGAATATACATTTTTGATTATAAAAAAATAAAATAAATGATGGAGAAGAAGAAACTGTGAGAGGCCAGAATACGCCACTCTCAGATCTGAGGGATTGTTGAAGACAATTGAGTCGATGCAGGAAAACTCTGCCCTCTCTATTTGCTGAAAAACAGAGTGTAGATGTATGAAGCCAAAAGTTTCCTGCCAGCCCCACCCCTCTCCCTGGGGGAGCAAAGACTAGCCTGAGAGTACTAATCCTTATTGGCCTGAAGTGGTGGTAGAGGCACTCACATCAACAAGGCTAAGGAACTGGCCTTCAACTGCCTTTTATTTGCCTTCCCCAACCTGTAGCCCCTAGGGACTCAAAGTCCTTTTCCTTTGTCTTACCACCCCTCTAAAAAAAGTACTCTTCTTTGTTGAAGTTGTCAGATGGGCTGGAATTCAAAGCTACCTCTTTGATAATTTGATAATTACTCACTCCCTGGGTGTCTCCCACATGTGTATGGAATAAAGGTGTTAAACTTTTTTGTTTTTCCTCTTGTTGATCTTTTTGTGGCAGGGTTCTTTTTGTGGCAGGGTTCAGTTCCCACAAGAACTTATGAGGTTTGAAGAAAACATTGTTATTCTCCTACAATACACATTAAAATTTATTAAACATATTAAAAATACAATCCTTAAACATATATAGCTGTTAACATTTCTGCGCTATGTAGCTTAGCTCTCAATGAGAATGGTTACTGGAATAAAAATACATTTGTATAGCTTTAGAATACTGTGAATAACATACTTGATCCTCAAATTCCAGTGTAATACGTAATATATTAAAATCAAACATTTTATAAATTCTAAGCTGTACAGTACAGGTAGGTAGTGTCAAAAAATCAGTACAAAGAAGGGTGCTATGTTTTTATCCAATGATCAGGATGTGGAAGGAATGAGTTTATCTCCGAATGGAATAAGGGGAGAAGCTCAAAATCCTATGGCTTCCCAATTTAGCGCAGGCCTGCAGATCACTCACTCAAGATGAAACCAAATTGGGCGCAGGGCCTGACCAACCCACAAGCTGAAGATACGGTTGCTCTCAGCTTGGGAATGCTCATAACCCAGATTGCACTGGAAACCAGAAACCAAACTCAAACTCTTTCCAGAACACCTGTTTTAACTTAGTCCATTACTTTTGCACTAAACGTAAACACCTGTACACATAAAGATGGTATTCCCAATAAGTCATGCATTGAAATCTTGTTTTCCTGCTGTTTCCTGCATGGTAGACCTTGAGCGTCCTAGGCATTTCTCCCCACTGCAGCTCTGGGATCAAGTGATAAAATTCAAATTCTCTGTCTTTAACCTGAAGGTCCTTATAAGCTCTGATGAAAGAAGCTTCAGAAATTTTAGGAGGAAAAATATCCTGCCTCCTCCACAGCTGCAGAGAAGCAGAGGTCCCCGCGCACCGGAAAGCAACAGATCGTGAACTGTCACGGAAGGGCGACGTGGTGTCCGCTGCGTGCACTGTAGAAATTCAGCCAATACGGATACGGGTCTGAGTTCTGTCACTGGAGGCGATTTCTAAGGGAACTGTACGTGGGGTTATTGTATTCTTTTCCCGACTTAACCTTTTAACTGACACCCCCATTTCCTGAGCAGCAATTCTTTTTTTTTTTTTTTTTTTTGACAGGCAGAGTGGACAGTGAGAGAGAGAGAGACAGAGAGAAAGGTCTTCCTTTGCCGTTGGTTCACCCTCCAATGGCCGCCGCGGCCGGCGCACTGCGCTGATCCGATGGCAGGAGCCAGGAGCCAGGTGCTTCTCCTGGTCTCCCATGGGGTGCAGGGCCCAAGCACTTGGGCCATCCTCCACTGCACTCCCGGGCCACAGCAGAGAGCTGGCCTGGAAGAGGGGCAACCGGGACAGAATCCGGCGCCCCAACCGGGACTAGAACCCGGTGTGCCGGCACCGCTAGGCGGAGGATTAGCCTAGTGAGCCACGGCGCCGGCCAGCAATTCTTGTGTTATATTTTCCTTAAGCCAGAGGATGACTCTTGGAATTTTGTTATTCTTAATGTAATAAAAGTAAAATAGACCCCAAGACTCTTGGATTCTATCCCTGAATACAGTAGTTCCCTCTGATCTGTGGAATATACATTCTGAGACCCCCTGACTATACTGTGTATACATACACCAAGGAACAAGCTTAATTTATAAATTAGACACAATAAGAGATGAACGATATGGAACAATCAAATACAATTAAACAACATACCGTACTGGAAGTGTGTGCTTTGAGGCCATTAGTAAGTATGATGGGGTTACTTGATCACCGGCGCTGGGACCTCCACAGTGCGGTAGCTGAGTGGCTGATGGGCAGGCAGCAAGTGCAGCAAGGAAATGCCGGGTACAGGGGCGATTCCTGTCCAAGTAGGAAGGAGTGAGGTTTCACACTCCTCCAAATGGCCTAACAATTTCAAACTTCAGTGTGGTTTATTTCTGGGAGTTTGCATTTAACATTTTCTGACTACAGCTGAACAAAATAATGGATAAAGAGAGATGCCACATAGAGCTGGAGAATCTTTATGACTTAAATGGACACAACCACACACACGTGATCAGGATTTCTGCATCATCAAGAAAGAAGACTGCAGAGAATCGTGGCGGTGGGCTCCCTTCAGCTGTCATCCAGGCCCCACTGGCACTTCTGGTGGGAATCATTAGATGGCTTGATTGCATGATGGGAAAATGCTCACATACCTTAATGGACTCCATAAGCCTAATGAAATGGGAAATTCTGTCATTTAATTTGATTCTCTTGCACTAGAATATTATGTAGGCTTTGTTTCTTATCAAGACAAGCCATGATTTCTCTGGGACTCAGTTTTTTTTTATCTGTAAAATGGGGGCAGATAATGTCACAGAGTTAGGATTAAAGGATATAGTGTATGCAGAAAAACTCTTAAACACTCACTAGTGCTCGACAGGAAGGGAATTTCAGGTGTCCCTAGGGAAGGTGATGATGCCCACGAGGGAGTGGATTCTTGAATGTGTTAATTAAGCCAACAAGTTCTTACATTGTGCTTTATGTGCAGGAAACCCCCTCCAGGTCAGGGTTTTTTACTTTGATTTTTGAAATTCATACTGACAACAGCAAGGTCAGCTTCTTGGGCCTGCTATTGTTCTCAGGTTTGTGTTTTTATAAGATTTGTATGTAATGCTTTTTCAATAAAATAAGCATACAATTAAACATTTAATATTAACTAGTATAACTTTAAAATATCAGAAGCCTTTACGTAATCATGGACTTACACATTTTTGTGAACAATACTTCAAAGTATATGAAATATTCACAAGTAAAGGATCTTTGCTCTCCTCGTGGAAAACAGAAATATGAGACTTGTAATTAGAAGACATTTTACCTTTATTGAATAAAAAATGTTAACTCAATAACCAAGTACCAGTGTATTTCCTTTGAAACTGTAATTTAGAACCTGGCTGATAAGGCCTTGACTACTTAAAAACTTTTCCCAGTTGTAAAGGAGAAATTATGTTCGGTGTTAACCCTCTGCTTTAGAAACCGGTCATCTGCAGAGACCTAACCGGCCCTTGATGTGCGGGGGCGGGGGAGGGGAGACGACACGGGAACCACATCCCGGAGAAAAGGCGTAGGGACCACGAGTGTTCGAGAAGCAACTGGTCAGCCAAGAACGGATAACACGGCTTTGGCTGGGTTGAGAAGTCAGCGAAAGAGAAGTCCAACTTTTTAAATTGCCTTAACTGCCTTTTTTTTTTTTTTCACTAGGAACTGCCTATTTTTTTATTCCGCTTCAGTCATGACGTGCACCCCACGCCTTGATTCCAAACACTGAATCCCAGCTCGCAGAGGGAGAAGCTTGTATTCGGAAGCAATCTGTTAGAATACGAAGTATGCAAAACAGACTAGCAATCACCTTTACAAAAGCGACATAACAGGTCTTAATAAAAAGATAAACCCTTTCGATGTGAGATTGTGGAAAAGAAAGGGGAGAAACGTTTGCCTTAACGGTCTCCCGCCGCAGCAAGCAGGATTGAACTCTAACCAATGGGATCCCACTTCAGAAATGCCCAGTTCTCCCGGCCCAATCGAGACGAGGTCATTTCTATAAATAGGACCGCCCCGGGGCTCCTGCCCTGAACAGCGCTATGGCCCGCACGAAGCAGACGGCGCGCAAGTCGACGGGCGGCAAGGCGCCCCGCAAGCAGCTGGCCACCAAGGCGGCCCGCAAGAGCGCGCCGGCCACGGGCGGCGTCAAGAAGCCGCACCGCTACCGGCCGGGCACCGTGGCGCTGCGCGAGATCCGGCGCTACCAGAAGTCGACCGAGCTGCTGATCCGCAAGCTGCCGTTCCAGCGGCTGGTGCGCGAGATCGCGCAGGACTTCAAGACAGACCTGCGCTTCCAGAGCTCGGCCGTCATGGCGCTGCAGGAGGCGAGCGAGGCCTACCTGGTGGGCCTGTTCGAGGACACGAACCTGTGCGCCATCCACGCCAAGCGCGTCACCATCATGCCCAAGGACATCCAGCTGGCCCGCCGCATCCGCGGAGAGCGGGCCTAGGGCGCGTGTCTATAGCAGTCAACCTAAAGGCTCTTTTCAGAGCCACCCACGTTGTCGCTGAGAGCAGCTGTACCAGCTTTCCACCGGGCGGGTTTCCTGGTGCTTGGGAGCCCTGGGCTCCCGGGCAGAGCTCGCATGCGCTGTGTAAGCAATCGGGGCCGGTTGATTGAGGTCGGGGATGTGACAGAGGCGTGGCTTTCGGGTAAATACAGAAAACTGGAAGCTAGAGACGAGCTAAAGGCAGAGACGTACGATTCAGATTCTGGCCCCTTTTCTTCTAGTTTAGGGATTTCATTTCAGACTCCAGTAGTTCATAATAGGCTCGGAGGGAGTCCCTGGCGGGTCTTAGCGCTTCTTTGCCAGACGCAGGGGGAAACGCCTTCCACAGAGCACAGGGTAAGATGACCGAAAAGAGCAAGCTTAGTGGCCTAAGATCGAGTTTAAGATTCCTCCGCGTGTAGTCCGCGAACGTTTGAAAGCACTGGGCCCCAAACAGGTGAAACCAACACAATGCAGCTGGAGGTTGTGAAACGCACATTTTGATTGGCTAGCAAGCTCCTGTTCTAACGACCACTAGGAAAGCGCTCACAGAATCGTTTTTACACGGACTCCGCCTCTCTGTGACGACACTATTGCAAAGGAACCAATTAGAACGCAGCTCGATGTGAGCCTTCATTTGCATACGGGCTCTATAAGTAGCGCGTAAGCTCCCAGCTTGTCCGTAGTTGTGAGTGATCGGTTTCAGTGTCTGCTTCTGTTTTGCGCACCTGAAGGATGCCGGATCCGGCGAAATCCGCTCCTGCTCCTAAGAAGGGCTCCAAGAAAGCCGTGACGAAAGTGCAGAAGAAAGACGGCAAGAAGCGCAAGCGCAGCCGCAAGGAGAGCTACTCAGTGTACGTGTACAAGGTACTCAAGCAGGTGCACCCCGACACCGGCATCTCGTCCAAGGCCATGGGCATCATGAACTCGTTCGTCAACGACATCTTCGAGCGCATCGCCGGCGAGGCGTCGCGCCTGGCGCACTACAACAAGCGCTCGACCATCACGTCCCGGGAGATCCAGACGGCCGTGCGCCTGCTGCTGCCCGGCGAGCTGGCCAAGCACGCCGTGTCCGAGGGCACCAAGGCCGTCACCAAGTACACCAGCTCCAAGTAAGGGTCCACAGGGACGCGAGAGATAACCACCTGGCACCAAAGGCTCTTTTCAGAGCCACTCCCGTTTTCGGAAAGGGCGCTGTGAACACTGCGACAGGGCTGGGTAGGCAGGCTGGATGTGGCCGGCGAGACTGCAGAGCCTCACGGGTCTAGTGCCGCTGCCCGGCGAGGGAGCATCTACGTAGTCTGGAAAGATGGAGAAGCTCGGCTGGCTGTCGCCGCGCCAGTGTGCATATACACCTCCCCCACCCCGGTTGTGTCTGAAAGTACTAGGCAGATTTTCTCCCTTAACGTGCAGAGGGGGAGCCGTGTTCCAGCTCTCCTCACTGGGACACCTTAAGGCTAGGTTAAAACACCCAACATCAGTGCAGTGTGGCTTCGTTTTCCTGGGTCCTGGCCCGGCCACCGGCCCTGGGTTAATACAAGTCTCGGCGACTGCAGTCGGATGATTTTGCCCTGTGGTCCTGTGGGACGCTTATATCGGGATGGATGCTGCTGAGCATCCTAAAACACGCAGGACAGGCGCCCCCTCCCCCACCCCACCCTAAAACACGCACACAGGTCCGAGGGTTGATCCCTGTGTGGGAACAGGCCTCTTCATCCAGGATTTCGTCAGCCACGCGGTCCCTCAGCTTCACCCAGCCCCTGTGCCGCTCTGCCCTTGGTGCGCAGGGTCTCCTGCAGGGCGCGCTTCGTGTAGCACTTTCCCCATTGCAAGTCGGCGCTGCGCGTTAAACGCTTGCAGGTGCTTCCTAGGTTTCCCAAGTCAATTCAGGTCGGCCTAGGTTTCCCAAGTCAATTCAGGTCGGGGGTGGGTCCTGGGGAAGCAGACTTGGATTAACAGGTTTTGGAGGTGCCTGTGTCTGGCGTCTATTTGTTAGGTAACCACAGATGGATATGTGAGCTCAGGCCTGTGTCACAAGTGTTCCGAGGGAGGAATTTGAGGAATCAGAAGGAATGACGCACGGTTCACAGAAACCCGGTGTGTAGAAGGAATGTCTCAAGACGGCAGTCTTTGCATAACTGAAGACTTCTCCCCACAACAGCTGGGCGAATTTTTCATTTACTAAGTAAAACAGACCCTTGGGGCAATAGGAAACTTGGTTGACAATTCAAGCTTTGAAGTTGTCACTTTGTAGGAAATAGTTTTTCATTAAAAATGAATTTTATTACAGGAATTAACATTTACATCCAGCTAAAACTTGCATAAAATGTGCTGTGCATGACTTCATTCTCTTGCTGGACTTCTCTCATTTGAGTCATCTTTGCCTGGCTTTTTTTTAATGACCACTAGACAAGAGGCCAGACGAAGATGACTCAACTGAGAATGTAACGTGTCCAGCAAAAGAAATGAAATCATAGCACATTTTGTAGTAGGAGGAAGTAGTGAGGAGGCCAAGGGGGTCTTTTTCATGCCCAGTCACCCCAGTGGAAAGTCCCAGCCTAGGACGCTGAAGCTGAGGTCTCCCTGAAGACTCCGGATTAGGTCTCAGTCCTTCGAAGTTGCTAAAGCAGTGCCGGTTGATTCAACTAGGAACTCCTAAGCTGTCACTTGTTATTCATTGATCAAAGGATTAAGTCCCAACTAAAGGCCTTCTATCACCTGGTCAATTTCCCAGTCCTCCAGCTTAGCCCACGTGTTCTGCCCTGCAATGCATCTTCAGTGTCTCTTCTGTGCTTTTATTATATTTTCCTGAGTTTTAGTTCAGCTTCAGTCTATACTACTCAGGGTCAGTGCCCCTGCCAGTTCTTCAAACTCATGCTCAAACCTCCCTGAGAAATCTTTCCATCCCACACCATTTCACGAGGGAAGTCTTTCCCCTTTTAACTCTCAAGGCCTTGCTCCTTACACAATTAACAACTAATTGTATAGTGTTGTGGACCTATTCTTCAATTTCTTTTCTTGTTTCTTACATTTTCTTTTGTCTTCTATTAGAGGGCAGAATCTTCTTCTAAATACTTGGTATTCTTCCACGAAGACTACTATAAAATAGCTTCTTAATGAACGTTTGTTGGATGATTGCCCAGTCCATAGTACACTATAAAACTAATCCTTGGGGTGGTAGATTCTAATACTGCAGTAAACATTTTCCTGTACGTTTCTTCATTTTTTCTTGCTCTTTTAGTCCATGATAATCTTTCAGCCACCCTTTATAATTAGTGACCAGCTTAAATCACTATTAGAGATTCAGAAGTCTTAAGGGTGGTAGGTACTTAAGTACTACACTGATCAGCTTCCCTTCAGCCAATATCTTTGTAGTTAAACTAATGAGTGTAGAAGGGAGCTTGCACCTGGTTTGAGATGTTGGAGTGTTCTGCCTTTCCAGTGTTTTAAACAAGGGTGAGAGGGGAGGTACATTCCAGAGGATAAAAACTGTGGCATTTGGATAAAAGGCTTTAAATTTCAGAGAGCTTTACATATGTAAACTTGGTCTTGGCCTAAGTTGTGGGGTCAGATGTTATTGAGATTGGTATGTTTTTAAGGATTGAAGAATGGATCATAGTGTATTACAGAAGCCTACAAGAACAGTTTATCTTCATTTTTAGACAGGTTATTTTAAAACTAGGTGAAATTTCTAATGCTGATGTAAAAGATTTGGGCGCCTATAATTCGACCATAGGACTAAAGATGGGAAATAAGTGTGAGATCTCTGGGATAATTACTAGTTTTAATGGGAAACTTTTTGTTTACATTTGGCAATAGCTGAATTATGCAAATGCTTGGCAAAAATAGAAAACTTGATAAAGTTTTATAAATCTCCCAATGTCAACATCAGCAAAATTTTGAAAAGAGCCTGGCTGTGTTTTCCTATCATGTATTATCAAATATATATTGAGCACATAATGTGAACAAAGCCGTGAGATAGAGAATAAAAAAGCTATGAAGGCATCTGAGAGATCATCCTGATGTGAAGATCATTCTAATTCAAGCAAGCAATATTATTCCCAAAACAGGAGTCAAAGGCAATGTGGGTTGAGAGTGCAAGGTTGTATCTGGCTGGGAGTTCAGGAGACTTCTACTGGGAGGGCTTCCAAGTGTGCCAGACGCTGTGCCACTTGATGAGAGCCAGAAGTGTTGGCCTCCTCAAGTCCATAGGTTAAACTTGCATTTTCTTTATGACTGGTACCTGGAGTATCCTCTGGGATTTTTCACAGGAGCTTCTTTCAACTTTTTAATCATCTGATTTGAGTAGGTAGAATTCTCCATTTCATCTTTGTTCTGTGATTAAAGGTTATTAATTCCTCATCCCTCATCCAGGTTGTACTGTTTTTCTTTACATCTCCTTGAGTGTTTAAAATTTTCACAGATTACTTTGTCACTGAACAGTTCTGATTGTCCCACTCTTGTGCCTGCCGAGCACAAAGCCATTTAAGTCCCATCAGACCCAACTTACAGCTCTTCAGAACTGTCAGGGCTTTTTCCCCTGTGATCCTAGCCTGACAGAAATTAGGTTTTCCTGTTCCCTGTGAGGTTGTCTTTCCTTTGGATGTGATGGTTATAGTGGTGGGGATGTGTTAACTTTTTCTTTGTCACCCTGAGTGCAACTTATCAGAAAATCCTCTTGGCTAAAATACGTCCAATTTCTGAGTACATCTTGCCACTTCCCTGCTGTCACCCTGTCCCAGGCCATCACCATCTCCTCTGAATATTTACAGTGACCTTCTAAGTGGTCTCCTTGCTTTTGCCCTCTCCCTCCTCTATTTTCCACAAAATAGCTAGAGTAAATTTTTTGAAACAAGTCAGTTCATTTCCCTCCCATGTCCTCTTGTCCAGCTGAGAACCCTCTGAGTCAAATCCGGCACCCACATCAACCTCCCAGCCTCATCTCTTGCCACTCTCCCTCGTTTGCTCCATTTCATTGCCCTCATCGCCTCTTCCTTGAATATACCAAAGTCTGTTTAAGGACCTTTGCATGTGCTATTTTCCCTTCTAGTAAAGGCTCTTCTCTGGATAATTGCATAATTTTTCTTATTTCTTTTGGGTTTCTAGTCATCGGTGACCTTACCATTGAGGTCTTCCCTGACCATTTTATGTCAGACAGCAAGCTCACCATCTCTGCTTCCCCTCACTTCTTGTTACCCCTTATCTCCACACCTTTCTTAGTTTTCCTCCAATCCCATCTGAATACCAGTGTATTTATTTACTTGTGTATTGCTGAATCAGAGATTGATATCCATAAGAACTCTTGTTGCCTGCTTGCTTTAACTCTCTGCTTTCTGGGTGTCTAGATTCTTAATTAAAGGCTAATTGAAGCTTCTCTTGGATTTGGGCTTCTCCATGAGCCAGGGTGCTAACCAAGGGGATGTTGAATGAACATTGTATTATTCCTAGTTTACTCCCTAAAAAAAAGGATCGGCGTGTGCTGCCCTTGCCACCCCTGGCTGACATGCAGATGTGACAGCATAAACTGGGGCAACCGCCTGGGACCCAGAGACAGAAGCCAGGTGAAGAGGACAGCAGAGCTGCTGTATCAGCCTTGGATTGTTCCACGAGAGAAACTTGTGTCTTATTTTAGGCTGTGCTTTAAAATGCTTGTTAACGATAACTTAGATTGCATCTGACAAACACATCATCTCAACCCTGACTTCCCAGAGTAAGTCCTGTGAAGGGAGGTGAATGTTTTGTTCCTGTTCTTTCCCCAGCATCTAGTGTTACGTCTGGGGTAGAGTAGGCATTCAGTCAGTATTTTCAGGATGAATGGATGGATAGGAGAGGAAGAAGTAACTGAGAGGGAGGGAAATGGGATCATATAAATGAGAAGCAGAGCTCCAAGGGCTGTAGTAAGAAGAAAGGTTTGAGTTTGCAATCTTCTGCCTTCTGAACTAGAGGCACCACAGTGGAGTGACGTTCTGGGTAAAGTTGTAATCACTGTGGCCCACAAATTGGTTTAGAAGCCCCACAGTGTAAATCATGGATGTTCAAGGATCAACAGCAAAGCTAACTCAGGCAGTATAGACGTTAACTATCAGCAATCTCCTAAAAGAGTAGATGCTTTTAAGTGGATTGCAATTAAAAGTCAACTTTGGAGCTCAGCAATTGTTGTCTCCATTTTACAGAAGACTACGAGACCCAGATAAGTAGAGAAATCCCAAGGGTCAGTGAACTTAGTATTGTTAAGTCCCTGCTGGTTATTGAAATTATTTCCTTATCAGTGACAGCGATCAGGATTATCAAGGCTAATCTAATCTGCCTTGATTCTTCCAAAATGTCCTCATTTGGATGTGGAAGAAGCAATGAAAAGAGGAATGTGTACTGTTCCCATGCCATCGTATCTCCTGCCAAGGGCAGCTCAGAGGCAGCTGAGGTTGGAGAGAACTTTGAAGGTCATAGCTTGGAGCTGAAGCTGCAACATCATTAACAGTAGCTCCAGCTCTTCCAGCTGTGCCCATTTCTCTTGTTAGCCCTCTATTAGCCCTCTGCTAGCCTAAGTCCTGCAAGTGGTGCTTAGCATCTGCTTTGAGTCCCAGCTTCTCCACACAGAAACTGTATAAGCTTTGGAAAGTGTCTTTACCCCTTTGTTCCTCAATTCTTCTATAAAATGGGAACCAATCATGAATCTACCTTCTAGGCTTGCTGTGGGGATTAAATGAGAGAATGTACTTGGAGAACTTGGTACGGTGGCTAGACACAGTGGATTCTTGCTCAGTGTTGCTGCCATTACTCTTACATTAGGAAGCATTTGCAGGAGCACTGTCATACCTAAATGTGTTTTCCTCAAAGCAGTGTTGTCATAGATCTCTACTAATGTGAGGACCACTTCTCTAAGCAGCCACTGTGCCAGGTGCCCATCATAGTAAGGCCTTCTTTATTTCAAAAACACCATCCAATAAAGCATTTCTGCAGTTTACTTTCAGGGCTTATGATTCTGTAGACTCTTAAAAGTATCTGCTATTTGGCCCAATAGGAAAAAAACAAAAGAAATAGAAAACTTTATAGGGTCTGTTACTAGTGCTTTACAAAAACCTGTAAAATCTTTGGCAAATACTTTCTTTTTCTACCAGAAGATGCTGGCAATATTTCACAGCAGCATTTTCAGAAAAATGGAACTGCATTTACTAAACAATTTTTTGTTTATTTAGTTGAAAGCCCTGGGTTTTGAGGATTTAATGCTCTTATGTAAAGCCATGTGAGTAGAAATTTCCTTGACCACTGTTAAGTAGCACAGAGCAGAACACACCTAATGCAGTTGACACAAGAATGTGAAAATAGCTTGGAAAATGTTTTAGATAGAAACTTAACAATGGATTTGGTGGATTCAGGTTGATGACTTCTGTGTTGATCATTTCTGCCTGTAAAATTATTTTGCAGCATTAAGAAGTTCCTGTTCTTTTCACCTATTGGATCTGAAGTTTTCCCAAGAATGCAAGGAAATCTTATTTTTCGAACTACAGTCTAGAGAATGGCCAACAAGTAAGATGAATTCCAAGCCCTCCAGGTTGTTTTTCTTTGGCTAAGAACTCATCACACAACTGATGATGTATTTCATAAGGTTCCGTTAAAGAGAGACTTAGGAATCTAGAGAGCATTGCGCTGTTGATCAACGCAGAGAACTTTGCTTTAGGTGGCCAAAGCCAGAAACGGCAAAATAGAACTAGAACTTGAAGTGCCTTAGGGTTTTTCCTTGGTGTGTGCACACCTGGATGCCAGTCCAGTGCCCTGAAGATGGTAAAGGGGTAGTGGCCTGGGACTGACTCAGTATTTAGAGGGAAAGAGAGATCTAGAGACTAGAGCAGGACAAGGCATCCAGAGAAAAGGAGTGTCTGACAAACAATGAAGGCTGCAAAGCAGTGAAGTAAGAAACAAATTATTTCATTTGTTTTATATGAATCAAAGGTAATAATTACAAATTACCAGAAGTCAAGGAAAAATACAGTGTCGATATTAGTGTTCTTAACACTCAGGGTAGAATATGCCTGGAGATATCAGCTCTCTTTTTTCCTCGGCAATGACGTTTTGACTTTGTATAAGTCTTAGTTTCCGTCTGTAGGATTATCATTTTCAGTGGCATCAAAGAAAAATGGGTTAGGCCAGGAGGGAGTATGAAACAATTCAAATATACCACAAATGTAACCCTGGGCAACGGTTGTTCAGAGTTCTTCAGAAAACTCCCAAATCTAGGGATGGACCTTGAATTACTTGAATTTCTCTCTGGAGATGCATTTCCAGATCATTTCTCCCTGGGACTGTATTTCATCCAGGTGGCCTGTCTGCCGACTGGCAACCATACATGGAGACACATGGATGTAGCATAATGGGCAGGAAAAGTGTGTGCTGACTCACTTGCAGCAAGAGAGCAACTTTTTGGGAACCAGCGCTGTGGCGTAGAAGGTTAAGCCTTCACCTGCTGCTCCACTTCTTACCCACCTCCCTGCTGACATGCCTAGAAAAGCAGTGGAGGATGGCCTAAATGTTTGGGCCCCTGCATCCACAGGAGAGATCTCAATGAAGCTCCTGGCTCCTGACTTTGGCCTGGTCAGGCCCCTGCTGTTGTGGCCGTTTGGGGAATGAACTAGCAGATGGAAGATCTCTCTCTCTCTCTCCTCTCTGTATCTCTGCCTTTCAAATAAATCTTAAAAAAAAAAAAAAAAAAAAAAAAGGAGTAGCTTTTCATAAACTGCTTTAGTCTTCGCCCAGTTACATGATGGCAATTTGCATAATTTTTGCCTTTTGATCATTTTTATAAGGGATTTTCCCTGTGTCTGTCCAGTATTTAAACTCTGATTTTCATAATTTCTTTCTACATCATTATTAAGGTTTTAGAAAATGGAAATTGTTCTTAAATTCTCAGAAATAGTAAGTATGTATGGAGTAGAATATACTTTTAGAATCAACAAGAGAGCTAAGGTACAACATGAATTCTAAACCTTAGCCTAGAGAAGAAAGGTAAAAAAATTTTTTTTACCTAAATGGAACTAATTTCTTAGTATTTATGATTGTGGGGCTAATGTTTAGGAGGAAAATAGGCTTAATGGATTTTTTCTGGATTAGCATATGCAAATCATTTACAGAGAGGGAAAAAATAAAAGCTGCAAAGATTACAAAAGCAAGATAAACAACAAGTTGTGGCTCTCCTTGGTGTGGATTGCAGGCATGACTGAGTCATGGTCCCTCAGGCCATGGTAGGGCCACTTCTTGGCAGTGAGGAGGGATGATGTGTTTCTGAAATCTCCGGTTATGCCATTATGTGGTATATTAGTAAAGACTGCAGGTTCTTGAGACAGAGCCTCGGATGTGTAATTGGTTCTGTTATTTTTTTTTTTTTAAGATTTATTTATTTGAGAGAGAGTTACAGACAGTAAGAGTGAGAGACAGAAAGGTCTTCCATCCACTGGTTCACTCCCCAAATGGCTGCAAGCTTGGAGCTGAGCTGATCTGAAGCCAGGAGTCAGGAGCTCCCTCCAGGTCCCCCATGTGGGTCCAGGCCATAGCAGAGAGCTGGATTGGAAGAGGAGCAGCTGGGACTACAACCAGCGCCCATATGGGATGCTGGCGCAGTGGGTAGAGGATTAACCTACTGCACCATAGCGCCAGCCTGGTTCTGTTATTTATTAGTAGTACGATGAGGCAAAGTTTCTTTTTTTCCAAAGCTTGTTTACTTATTTATTGGAAAGGCAGAGCATCAGGAAGGGACAGATGGTGGGAGGGAAGGGAGAGCTCCATCCATATTCATCCACTGGTTCATTCCCCAAATGGCTGCAAAATCCAGGCCCGAGTTGGGCACAAGCCGAGAGCCGGGAACTCCAGCCTGGTCTCATGTGTGGCAGAAACTCAAGCGCTTGGTCCATTTTCCACTTTCTTCCCAGGCACATTAGCATGAATCTAGATCAGAAGCAGAGTAGCTGGGACTTACACTGGCACTTTGGGAGGGGATGCTAGTGTCTCAAGTGGTGACAATCCACCGCACCACAGTGCCATCCTCTCGAATACATTTTTAAATCAGTGTTTCCTTATCTTAAAGTTCAGAATAATACTAATCCTTACTCATGCAGGATCATTGAGTAAATACATATAGCTGTGCTTAATGTTTGACACTTAACAAACATCTCAAAAAATGTTGGTTGATGTTGGCAGTAGGGAAGCCCTGTGGAGTGCTGTGCAAGTTTCTTACCTCCAGTGCACCCCAAATGACTATGTCACATGCTTTCCAGCTCCATCCCAAACTCTTAGAAGTGATAAAAATAAAAAATTGACCAAAGTGTGAAGTAGAGAACTTCGACAGTAGACATGGACCGAAAAATAATTCACACTTTTTGGAACCAACATACCAGGATCAAAAGTTGATCCTGAGACAAGAGAAAAGATGACTCTTTGGGGACCACAGTGGGACCAGCTAGTGAGGTTTATCCCGTCTGCCCCCTCCTATCTAGGGAGAGGCAGTAGGATGTACCACGTGACTGGGAGCTGCCATCCTGAAAAGACTACTACTGGCCACTTACCCAACGTGAACTTCTCTCCCGCCCACAAGCGCTGCAGCAAAGCAGCTCCCCAACACAAAGATGAGCAATAGCCAGAGTCCTCAACACTGGGAATGAACCAGCAAAATCAGAGACCCAAACTGGGCAGAGTAGAACTCCAAGAAGCAGCATTAACAGGAGAGACCTCAGAATGAGTGTACCTGATCTCTTTGGAGGTACGGGAGAGAGAGAACATGCAGGAAAACTTAACTAAAGATCTTGGCAATTTAAATTTTGGTTATTGACATGTAAATTCAACAAGGGCCGAATCCAGAATAGGATACATGTAGCTGAGGGAAAATCAATGAGCTTAAGCCAGAAATCCCTCTAAGAAACCAAATAAAAATATATATATATATATAAAATTAAAAAATAGGAAAGCAAGTGTACATGATGGTGAAGAATAGATTCAGATAGCCCAAAATTCATCCAATAGGATGAGAAACTTGAGGCAGGAATCAAAGTGTTGGCAATAAAGTGCAGATCTGTGGAATAAGGTTTGCTGGTCATGCAGTGCACACTTCAGGGAACACCATTCAAATCGTAATCTTTGACAGTGGTGTCTTCTGCCATTGTCTAGTGTACATCCAAAGTCCATCAGACAATGGGAGGATTATTTCCCAGGATCCAAATATGTGTAGATGTCCACGTCGGGCTGCAAGGTCCTGTTAAATGCTGAACACACAAGCAAAGGACCTTTAATTCAATACACGGTGATATTTCAGAATAAAGAGCTAGAAGAGAAAGTTATAAAAACACTCAGAAAATACAAAGAAATGGACATCAAGTTTATATGAGATGCATTTGAGTACACTGGATATAAGACAATGAAGCATTATTTTTAAAAATCTAGGGAGAAATATAATGAAACGAAAGTCTGTCCAAACTCTCATTTAAGACAGCACCTTTTAGACTGAGTTACTAGAGTTGCATTCCAGCAAGAACTAAAGATTGCAGGGGATGATGAGGGATTCCAGAAGCAAAGGTGCTCAGTACCTGGTTCAGCACATGGCTAAGTGTGAGTAAGCTTAAGTCTAAGAAATTAAACAACCAACCTGGGATTCAGCTGCCAGATGATGTTAATGTGGGAGATGAGAGAGGGCAGGAGTGAAGTGAAACAAGAGTTAGTAGATTCAGGAGGAGGATATAGATGTTATTACTGTGGAAGTTAGAAAACCGTAGGTTTAAAAATGTGACACTAGGAGGGAATTTCAAAACGGTGATACATTCACAAATGATCATGAATTGTTTTCATTGTAAACAGGTATACAGTGTGCATATACTTACACAAGTGTGCATACAAGGATTTCTGATAAGTGAATAATCACAGTGAAGGCTTTACACCTTTCTTAGCCATTAGATCAAGTGGACTAAAACACTGAAGAGATAGGGGATTTGAAGAACATGGTTAACAAGGTTAATCATGTAACTATACTCACACCAACACCATCTGGGATTCAAAATAACAAATTGCCTTGTTTTCAAATTCACATGGAATATTAACAAAAATTGACTAAGAGGGCAAATTAAATCTCAAGTGCTGAAAAAGGTTAAGCCATTCAGGATATATTCATGGACTATAAAGCAATAAAATAATCTACTCTCCTTAGTCTAGACTCGGGAAAAAGCACATGGATAAAGGGGATAACAAAAAGTTACATATTCTAAAAATCAGAGCACTATATATTAAAACCTACATGAAGTGGGTAGAGGAAAATTCATAGTTTTAGAATGCATTTAAGAGGAAACTTGAAAATAACCTTTTAAACTCAAATACTAATAAAGAAACAACAAAAAGCTGAGAGGAGTGAATTAAGATAAAACAGAATCGATGGAGTGGATCACACCTTCCTATTCTGCTAAAATTAATAAAACCAAAGGCTGTTTCCTGAGCATTTAAATGGTTGATCCTTTAGTAAATTTAAAGAGAAAAAAAATTAGATATAGAAGATAAGATATTTTTATATGAATATATATGTAAAATAGGTGTTGAATTTTTTTCATACTACCAGAGCTGCTTCAAGAAAAGTAGAATAAAAATTGGTTATAGGTGCAACTGAAAAGGTAGTGACAGATTTTCCCTTAAAAATGCAACAGAGGCAGGTGTTTGGTGCAGCTGTTAAGATCCCAGTTGGGACACCCACAGCCTGTACTGAAAGTCCTGGTTCTGCTCCCAATTCCAGCTCACAGGCTGCAGGTGATGGGGACTCAAGTTGGTGGGACCCTGCCCCCACATGGGAGAGCTGGGTTGAGTTTACAGGTGCCTGCAATTTCGGGAGTGAACCAGTGAACAGGAGCCCTCTGTCTGCCTGTGTGTCTCTAAAACAAATTGAATAAATTTTAAAAAGCCACTGCTTGGGATGCCTATGTTCCATATCAAAGTGCCTGAGAGCTAGTCACACCTCTGCTTCTGACCCAGCTTCCTGCTAATGCACCAAGGAGGCAGCAGGTGATGGCCCAAGTACCGGAGTCTCTGCCACCCACATGGGAGACCCAGAGGGAGTTTCTGGCTCCTGGCTGCAGTCTGGCCCCGTCCTGGCTGTTGCACATTTGGGAAGTAACCCAGTGGATGAAAGACTGCTCTGCCTTTCAAATGAAAATAAGTAAACAAACAGTAAGAAAAAAAGTTCAAGGCCCAGATAGTTTTTACTAAACGCTAATGGGAGATGATATTTAAATTGATCACGATAATACAAAAAATTAAGCCACCTATGGGTATTGTGAAGAAGTGACAGCAACAGATATTAGGAAGGTTAAATGAAATAATCTATGCAGGGCAAGTGTTTGATACACGAAAATACTACTAATAAAGTTATTACATGCCATGATACAGTTTCCTAGTGGGATGAGACAGAACTGGAATAAGAAGTTGCAATTCAAGGAGTTATTAAGTGTAAGGTTAAGGGTTGAATCCTGGTTTACAGTGACCAAGACTTGTGAAATTTCAGATCATGGTTGAATTAAAGTTAGAAAATGGTTATTTTCTAAAATAAATGATTCTGATAAGCCTATGTAAATGCCTATTTCTTCTTTTCAAGCTCTGTCTCTGCTCTTCCAGAAAAGGTGAGCCTCAAAGTCACAGCCAGATTGCATCCATGGTGCGGTTTCACTGGGAAACATGCCACTGCTGCTTCTAAATAAATCACCTTTGCAGAGACCTTGTGTGGGCAGTTCGTCTTACTTACTCTCCCGAGTGCCTAAACCAATTGTTTCTAGTCTTTTCTTCTGATTTGCAATCTCCGTTAACTCCAAACATGTCTGGGATCTTTCACTCTCCAAAATTTATTTTATTTTTATCCTCTTCAAGACTAAGGGTTAAGGAGTAGAATGTGCTGAGTGTGATGTGGGGGTGAAAGGGAGGGCAGGAAGATGAGCTTAATTTTGGGGGGTTTTGCCCCTACATTAAAAAACAAACCTAAACAATGGAAACAAAGGGAGAAGGAAGGAAACTATTTTATTGGCTCTCATTTTGCTGCCAGTGAGCATTAACAAAGATGTCTACACCTAAAAGACCATGTGGAGGCCCCGATTTTCAACTTCCTAGCCCTTTTCTTAGCTTTATGGACATCCTACTTTCCATTGCAAAATTCAACATACACTTCTCTTAGTTCATTCAGGTTTTATAGTGTGGGACTGGTAATAATATTAAAACACTAACAATCCCATTTACAGTAATTCACAACTATGAAGGGCCCAGGAATTAATGGAAACTCCTAAAGGATAAATGTAACATTGTTTTGAGACATCAACAAGGGCCTAAACAAATGGATAGTTACACCTTGCTAGGAGATTGAAAGTCAACATTGCAATACCAGTGCCCCTCTAATCCTGTCCTGCCCCCACCCCCAAATGATCTACAGATTTAATGCAGTTCTACTCCAAATCCAATTGTCTTCTCAGGAGAATTTGACCCAATAACATTTTAAAAGCATTTATTTGAAAGACGGAGAGAGGGAGACAGATCTACCATTCACTGCTTCACTCCCCAAGTGCCTGCACCAGCCTGGCACTGAGTCTGGGTCTCACTGGAAGCCAGGAGCTCCAATACGGCATTGGGAATACCAAGCGATGCCTTCACCACTGGGCCAACATGCCACCACTGCCCCCACGCCTGCGGTCAGCTTCTTTACTGAGACACTGTCTTCTGTTTCTAGTCCAGGTTCTTCCCTGGGCTCAACCCGTGTCTCCATTGCCTTTCCGACAGTCACACAACGTGCACTGGGAATCTTAACAGGTCCCATACACAACTTTGGCTTCCTGCTACCCCTTGGCCCCTGCCCAACCAGTGCTCTTTTCCAGGTCAGACAATGGCATGTTTACTGCGGTGGCCCCAAATCTAGGAGTTCCTCATTCTTCTTTTTCTCAGTTTGATACATCTGATCAATCTGAAAGCTTTGTTGGCATTTCCTACAAATTCCAAATGTGACCATTACTGCTACCATACTAGTCCAGGCTGCCATTGTCTCACCTGAATTCCTGATTGGTTTCCTGGTTTCCACCGTTGTCCCTTTGAGAGCTCCTGGGGTCTGTCTCCAATGAAGGCTGGTGGCAGTGAGGACGGTAGCCTTCCGAAGTAGCTGCTAGCTATGTCTCCTTTCTGCCCGGAAAAGCTGTTTAGAGCTGGCTAATCCTTGGTCCCCTTCTAGGGGAAAGTCCCTTAAGGAAAGATCCAGAATGGACCCAGCTATTCCCGTGTTGCCGCAGCGTGATAGCCCACTTTGGGAATTCCATCTCAGGCTAGGCACCTGTGATCCGAAGGGGGCTGGCCTCTTGTAAGAGAAGCGCCTGTGGTGCGCAAATGCATTTAGGGGTCTCCACATGGAGAAACGACCCTAACTGGCCCACCCTCTTCCCAACCGATTGCCTGCTCTGCTTCACTCCTGTCCACTCGGGTGATGTGCTTATGCCGAGCCCCTTGCATATGAAGCCTCGGTAGGTCCAAGAGGACCCGGATATTACTCCTGTCAAGTCTAGGGGTGAAGAACAACCTCTGCCCCCAAACACACACCCGCTCTGAGGTTCCCGAATTATTCTGGGGGATTCCTGTCCTCTGGCTTGCTGGCTGAGCTGACCTAGGGTCCCTCCCCGGCTCTGATGGTGACGGATCCAGCTGCCCTGTTCTTGGTTCTCCCTCGGCAGGCCGAGTAAGGGAGGCGCCTGCCGGGAGGCCAGCTGCCACCTCGCCGCTTTTGGCCTGCTTCTCCGGCGGCCTGCTCCCGGCGCCCCGTAACGTGAGGCGCCCGCGAAGGCTGCAACTTCCAAGTCAGCCTCCAGGTGGCGCGACACCGCGGCCGCGAGCAGGTGGGCATGCGCACTACGGCTTCTCGCGATATTCCCATCCTGCAACTGGGTTCGCAGTAGGAGTTCTGCGTAAGTTGCGTTCTACCTCAAACCGAGGCGGGTAGCGTACGGACGCCCTTTCGCTCTCTCCTGTCCCCTCCTGCCGCTGACCCAGTCTAGAACTCGTTTTTTGCTCCCGCCTGCCCTGGGAAAGTCAATAATTTCTCGTGGCTTGTTTCTGAGCGGGAGGAAGGGCGCAGAACGGGCGGTCAGCTTTCGCTCAGCTGAATCCCCGTGCGCAGGCTGAGCCGCAACGCACTAGGAGGCCACAAGGTGGCGCCAGCGGCCCGCCGCGGACAAGCGCCGGCCACGACGCCTCGGTTAGGTGTCATTTACAATAGAGTTTACTGACATCCCTGTTTGGAGCACAGAATTGAGTGGTGGGTGATAGCAGATTTGCAATCAGGTAAGAATATGGAGTTGCAGCACCCGGTCCTTTTTTTTTTTTTTTGGCCAAAAATTAATAAAACAATTGTTCGAGAACATATAAAATGCCGACTCACTTCAAGACATTGCTTTTACTTGGAGATACGTCGATCTGTTTCCATTTCCTTTTTGAAACCTTGTGAAACTGAGACTGAGCGGGCACATGAGCTAGCAACTCTTTCCGCTCACTGGAAGGGCGGAAATGCCAGCGAGTCGCTCGCCCTTACCCGTTTGGATACTGTGTGACGGCCTTTGTGCCGTTCGCGCCATGTGTCCAGCCTGGTCGTGCTCGCCGTGGCCTGGTCGCGCCGCGGACCTCCGTCTACCCTGCGGGTGGAAGCGGAGGCGCGGGCTGACTCACGGGGACGCCGCCGAGCCCGCCTCCCTCTGCCTGGCGAGGCGCGCGTTCCGCATCCTGGGCACTTTGACAGAGTACAGGGCTGACTCCCAGACTGTTTTAATTTGCTGTTTTAAGGTGCTGAGGTTTGGAGCTGCCCGTTGAGGTAAGCGGGCCGGTCCTGCCACAGCCGAATCGGCACCTGCACAGAGCAGGTGCAGCGCTGTGCGCAGGGTGTTGCTATAGGTCGTCCTTACATTCCTGGCCTTTCTGTCCTGGGCCTCTTCCTTGGAAGCCACACATTTTTAGTTATTAGTTTGGAAGTCAGAGTTACAGAGAGAGGGAGAGACAGAAAGCGATGCTCCATCTGCTGGTTCACTCCCCAGATGACCGCAACGGCCGGGGCTGGGTCAGGCTGGAGCCACGAGCTTCATCCAGGTCTCTCGCGTGGGCGCAGGGGCCCAAGCACTTGGGCCATCCTCTCTACTTTTTCCCAGGAAGCTGGATCAGAAGAAGAGCAGCCAGGACTTGGCACTGGTGCCCCTATGGGATGCTGGCATCCCAGGTGGTGGCTTTACCTGCTACGACACAGCGTGGGCCCCAGCCATGCATTTTTTTTTATAATAAAGAAGTAAAATCTTTAAATGAAAATGGTCATCAATTCTTCCATATCCTTCTCCAATATTCTGGTATTCAGAACATCAGCATACCCATTTCTAGTACCTAGCTTTGCTCTTGACCCAGGAAGGAACAAGAGCCTAAACCTCTGGTGTGTGGAGTCTTTGTCTCTCTGGTACTGCCAGACATTTCATCCCCAGGTCACTGTATGATGATTTGGAACAGGTCAGAGAGAGGCTTTGTTTGATGAACTGTGGGAAAGCTGAGTGGGAAGGAGCAGGCATGGTTCCAGGCAGGCCAGTAGTTTGCAAGTGTCCCTATGGAAGTTTATGAGCAGTTTGATTCCCTTAAGCTATTGTTGCCTCTCAAATAAATAAATCTCTTTTTAAAAAGGAAAGTGGAGCCCCTGGGACTTAAACCTGTACCCATATGGGATGTCAGTGTTGCAGGTGGCAGCTTAACACATTGTCACAAAAGACCTAATTCTGATTGACTCAAAAACCTAAAAGAAGTTTTGAAAAAATTCATGCAAATGTGTATTATAAAAAACTATACGTAGATTCCAAAACTACCTTCATTCATTCTGTTTTCCACAGTCTTATTGAAGTTCCTGTGTGTGTGTTTTTCCAGGCCCTTGTGGGTAAATTAAGGCTAGGTTTCGTAGCTCTTTGGGGTTGTAATCCCTTTCCTTTCTTCTCAGACATCTCTTGGGTTATCTGTGATGTAGCCTCGTCATGGCTAGCAGGAAGGGGTGGGGACAGACCCCGAGAGGGGGCACGTAGTGCCTTCTTGGGGAGAAGCCTGAATTTTCTTCTGGCACCTAAGAAGTGCTCACTCTTTCTAGAGAAGAGCCAACCATTTTCACAGGCTCAAAAGTTTGGAAGCGTTGAGAGCCAAAATAATTTGACCTGACAGTCAACATTCCTTTGAAGTTGTTCTACTTTTGCTTGGTCTTTCCTTTTCTCTGACCTTCCTCTTTGCAGAGATGGGAGCTGCTTTGGAGATAAGTTGGGAGGTGCTGTGGCTTGTCCTGCCTGATACCCTCAGCTGCTCCTTATCTTTCTGAAGAGCGTGGAGGGCACTTAGCTGTGGCCCTCCTCTTCCGTCGTCCTCACGTTCACTCCTCATCCAGAAGCTTCAAACACCTGGGTGTTCCCTCCTCCACTGCACAGTGTCCCATTCCCCACCAGGAACAGTTTTGACGACTCAATCACCGCCTGTGCTAAGTGCTGACTGTGCCTCGCCTGCCAACCATGCTTGGGTCCTCATTGCTAGTTGGCTGGGTGAATTACTCAGATTACTCCAAAACCCTGTCTGCCCCCTGCTTTCACAGAGCCCTCACAGGATAAAGCATTGCCAGTTGTGTTTTCTGGAAGCAGACACTGAGATGGAGATTAGGGGGCAAGATTTTTGTTAGGACCAATACCTAGGAAG